CAAGGTGACATTTTCCATCAACAGTCTTGAGTTTTGACGGTGTGTCTAGCCGCCGCAGGTCCGTTCCCGCCGGCGCCGGCCGCGGCAGCTCCCGACATCGGCTGGGACGCCATGGCCGGCAGCGGGGGGCCGACGCCGCCTGACATCCACACCAGCCAGCGCTGTGAGGTAGCGTACCGCCGTGGGGATAACGCCGGCAAACACTGTTGTGTCACGTGAATAATAGGGTGAAAACACTGTTGTGTCACGTGAATAATAGGGTGAAAAGGCCGCTTGTCCCCTACCTTTAATCTTCCACCTGAAATAAATATTTCTGTTCAACAGATGCGCCACTGACGACAGCCGCGTGAACCCTCGCCCCATGACCCCTTCTTCGTGTTGAAGCAGTTCCGTGTGGCAGCGCGGCTGCTGACCCCCACCCAGCAAGGTCTTTCTACAACCTCACCCAACGACGCGCCGGGGGTCACGTTGCTATTGCCATATATCTGAGCATGGATGGCCTGATTTTAGGATAACTCTGCAAGGAATTGCGGGTACTGGCCATGGTCCATATCATGTCATGTCATTGTGACCTTCCGACGCGCCCAGCTGCTGGGGCTTTACGGCGTCATCTGCCTCTCACCCTGGCTGGAAGGGCTGACAACGCGGGGAATCGAACCCATACCTCTCGTTTCCCAGACGCACAGCGGTTAACGCAGACGCATTAACCGTTGCACTATCGGCTCCCCGCCCTTGCCCCTGACTTTCGAGTACGTCTTATATTCATGCACAATAAGAATTCGTCCCGTCGGTGACCCCATTATCCCAATTGCTTTTCCTCTTTTTTTTTTTTGCTCATCCCAAACGGTCTTTTGCGACACGATACCAAGGACAACGCGTCGAAGATTTCGGCCTCTGGGAAAGCGCCAATTCAAGTCCAGGCGAATACAACCGAATGTTCGGGATGTGCAGGACACCTAGAAAGTCGTTAACGCATGCTCGGAAGCTACCGGAGGGGAACACCGTCAAACACCAGACATACCATCACCTCCAAAGCCGACTATTTCTGTCTTGTCGAGATCCTGCCGAGGATTTCCCGAGTCCGCAGGAAATCCTCCTCTGATGGGGCCCAAAATAGTACCTGAAGCGCCCAGCCGGCGGCAACTTGGAGACTGGAATACCCTGCCCTTGGCTCATTCACGGACCGAACAGCTCGCTATTCAGTTCTTTGCAGACGACAGCTTTTCATCCATTTCCATTTCATTTCATCTTTTGTCCTCGCAATAAATGCCAACCGACGCTCCGTTGAACACGCCGTAAGCACCGCTCCAAATTGCACGTGAGCATTCACAGAGCTAGAGGTCACAGCGTACACCTCAATGTCACGCGGGGCCAGATACGCCACGTCTCTCTTCCCGGGAAGAAGCAGACCGCAAGACACCGCCGCCGCAGGGGCTGAGCGCCAGCGGCGTCACGGCGCCAGACGATCGGGCGCGCGCGCGTGCGGACGATATGGCACGACTCCACAACCCGGCGGCGCCGTTGATTTGTGTTTGGTTTTGACAGCGTAGCGTCGGCTTCAGGGTCACACGGCGACACGGTCGCTTGGCTACAGGTTGTCGCATCACGGTTCCCACAGAGACGCGTGGCCACAGTCCGTAGCTGGAGATCGCGACACGAATACATCTATGATATACAAATGGACGGCTGGCTGGTGAGCCGGTGACATATGACAACTGACAACTGACAACTGACAACTGCAGCCACGCCAGAAGGTTCGATCAAATGACAGTCGGCTGACGCGACACTGGGACTTCTGGTGCGGTCAATACAGACTGCTACACCAGGACAGTGTTTGGCGGAATTGCTGCAGTTAGGCCTGTCGCAAATTCCCTAAGGGGGTCCGTGAATTGCGTTACGCAGGTGGGGGAGGGGTTTTATGCGGCGTTACCGGAGCGTGACGAAAGGAAGGGAACGGTGTACCGCGTTCAGAATCGCTCAAGTGAGGTGAAAAATTCCGCTGAAAGCTTTTGAACAGGACCCAACAAAACCTACTAGCGTAACTCAGGGTCCGTGTCGAGAAAAAACCGCACGTAAACATGAGAAGGAACGCTGGAAGTGACAAAAAATGCATGATAATGCAAATACGCCATGTAATCCATCATGCATATGACATAACGTAACGTGATATCATTCATGGACAATAATGCAGATTAGGAAAACCTACTTAAAACAAACACATATTTATTTCCTTTTTCACCCAATGGATCATCAAACCATTCAGTAGACCCATTCCGAACATCTCATCTATCAGACAGGCAAACTTTCCGTAGTCTAGAGCCCATTTTACATTTTTTCAACTGCAGGGTTCCACAAATGTCAGACACGAATTTCCTGATACACATAAACTTAACATCCCGAGACGACACTGAACCGGACAAGGTCGTCAGCCCTGCGAGTCTCAACATCGGATTAAAACAACGTCAACATCCGAAAATATGGCAGCTTCAGCACCCCAGTCACGCCCGGCTAGCCCAGCTTGCGTGGACTTCGATCTTTGCAAATACCCATAGTCCCGTCACGACGCTTCAGCAGCATATAGCACAATTATTTATGACGTGTGCTGCTCATTTCAATGCAAGCCGTTTGCCGAGGCGGCGCATGCCATCACCGCTGCAATATCACCACTATCCATTTTGGTGAGACATTATCCATACGTTATCTCCCCATTTGACTAACAGGCGCTCAGGTGCGGGTCAATTTGCCCCCCCCCCCCAAAAAAAAAGTTTTCCGGAATGGTTTCCGAACGGCACGGCTTAGCCACGCCAAATTTTGCTAGCTGTAGAAAACTAAATAGATCGTTCGGAATCATAAATTTAGATTAACTTGTAAAGTCGCTGACCTACGGCAGGTCAAAGCCAGGTAACGGGTTCTGCGAATACAATTTCTAGGGAATCGTTCAATCTGATGCAAGAACGGAGTGTTAGACAAAGCCATCCATCTCTGAGATGATTTCGTAGGCAACACAACAACTAAATGAACAAATTTCATTGACCTATGGTCTGGTATGAATGTCAGACCACGGTCAAAACCTACCTGCTGTTACTCTAGAGCTTGTTGTATGGAGTAGTTTCTGGTGCTTATTTCGAATTTACTGATAGCAGAAACCGCGTAATACATCCTCCGTGGACTTCTTTAAGTTCACAATGCGTCACTGAACTAAAATGGCCATCGTCAACTTTTTTGTTTTTAGGAACATACCGCCCAGCGTAATCTTTGACGCTTATTCAAATGCAACTTAAAGCAGTATTGTATAATTTTGGTCACCATGATTTGTGACAGGTCGAACAAGGCCACTGGCCTTACATGAGCACCAGTGACATTTTACTTAGAACAGATATCTAGGTTCTGGGGCCCTTTGGATAACAACCTGGCTTTTGACCTCGTGCGACTTTATTTGACTCGCAGGTCATGACATAGGAGTGTGAAAGTCTTACGAAATGAGTTCACATACAGGCCAACACACCCTGTGAAATGGTGTCTCTGGCTCTCTTAGTTTCTTAGATCTCAGGGGGTCAACTTGACCGCCCTCCGAGCGAAGGGTATTCAACCAGCCACCCGGGCGAGTGTTAGCAACGGAAATACAACACCTTCAAACCGCAAAAACTTCGCTGCACGGGGGTCAGAAGCAGGCCCGATTCCGGCGCCCAGGCCTCGCGATGACATGGGACTCGTGTTTACCAATGGAGGCGAAAACAGGCGATCGCCCCAGCACGAGTGTGGGTCGGTGTGTGCGGAGTCTCATGCAAGGTGTGCGCGAGTCATGGATCCATCCGCCCCGTTTCCGGGCGTTTTAAGGATGGCCAGTGCAGTCGCTGGCGTTCCATAAAAGGGACGTGACGACGTGCGTCACGTCTCACAAAAAAGGCTTGCTGTCATATCTCAGCACCCAGGCAGAGACGTGAGACGAGACGCGCGGAACAGGCCAGCGTGTCGTCCACAAACCACAGGACGATCTCAACGCCGCCCGACCCGTAGGCGCGTCGTTGCCAGGTCAAGAGCAGCTCATGCCACACGTTCCGAAACCGGTCTCAGATACAACACGGTGGAGCCTATGCCGGGACTGATCTGGTTATGTTAACTACATGGTTGTGTGATCCAGTTCGCTGTGTGCAATATCCATCCAAAATACTACGCTTTCCCACTTGAACTTTTACACTTAACGCTTTCATCAGTCACCAAAAACGTACATATATCATGTGCGGGCGTCGCAAGCCAGATCACCTTAATCTGACAACCTTATTAACCTTATGAAGGAAAACTTCCGACGCACGGGGAACTCCTTTACGCATGGGTTCCCCAATGCAACACCTTCACTCACTCATGTTTATACATCATTTAGGTTGTGACATCAATCATGTTTGCTATTACCTTGCTGACTGCATGTCACAGAGTGTTTGATTGGTTGCAAAAATGATAATTATAATATCACATACTATAGAATCTCAGTTGTCAACATGTGGATTTCTACAAATCTTGAAATGTCTCAATGTTTTCAGTATTAATATGTCAACTGGGGCCTAAAGCCCCAGTTGACATAGCCCCTTGTACTATTTGTTTCTTTCAGAAAACTGGACTGGCACCTCAGAGAGAACCACACAGAGAAACTGCTTGCATCTCATGCCATAAATGATGCCTTAACTACCACATACACCACAAATAATACCTACACCATCATTCCTGAGCTACATTGACAAGTGATAAGTAACCACCACCCCCCAGTCTGGGAATCCTGAAAATGGTCAAGGACCAGTCTCTGGACTAAGCAACACTAGTCAATATATGTTGGTAATCATTGGAAGAGATCTCATTAGATAGCTTGGTAATCCTGAGGCCTTTATGTCATGCTCATCTTGGCCAGACATTAGGTCCCAGTAGCTTCTTGAAAACTTGTCATCAGAGCCCCACATCCCTATAACAGTTTCCAGCCACACCAGAAGCAAAATAATCCACACACTAACCTGAACCAGGCAAAGATGAGGACGGTGACATGGTGGTACCAGTGCAGGAAGATCAGGGGCTGTTTCCGCAGCACAATGAACACTGTGTCAGCCAGCTCAGGAACCTTTGACATGGTGAACAGGTAGCACCAGAGGGCAGATACTGAGTTGTTGGGAACATAACTGAAAAGAGCAACACATTTCATTAAAGGGGTGCAGCACAGTTCCAGCTTGTAAAAGCCCTCATTGAGACTAGCATCAGACCTGCCATCTAAAGGCATGTTTCACACATTTATAACTTGGTTAAAAGATAGGTAACTGCTTCCAGATGGCATAGGCACTTTGATTACACTATTCTATAGCCCTATGTGTTCAATGCTGTTACAATACTAGCCATGCAAATTCATCAAAAATATAACAATTCAATGTTATCATCTACATCCATACCAATGGCTAGCAATGCATCAGGATTGGTGTAACCCAAATACAAAACACAATACAGAAATATTCATGCATCCATACCTGTGACCAGCAATGCAGCAGGAGTGGTGAAATCCAAATTTCTTCAGCACAAATAACAGCTCTGGCACGGTCCTCATGGTGCCGATAATGCTGAATACGGCCAGGAAGAAGTTCCACAGCGCCAGCGTGTTGCGCAGCTCGAAGCGGGGGCGCGACTGCATGTAGTGTTGTCCGCCGAACACCAGTACCATGTATATGCCTATGTAATAAAACGACATGTGCCAGTTGTCCTCCATCCACTGCCGTCGTTCAACCGCAGCGAAGTCCTCTTCGAACTTGAACACATACGTGTAGTTCGGCACGGTCATCGAGACTGCATCCATGGTTGCCGGCGTCGGATCGCCAACAGCTGCAGAAACACAGGCAATCTGGAGACACCGGCTCGAAGTCGAGGTACCGCCCCCAAGTACCCCCACGCCCTGCCCAGCCGGCTCCCGGCAACGATCTGTATTGGAAACCCCGCGCGCACGCGCCGAAAAGGCAGCTGATCTCCAAGGTCAACACTGCCGGCTGGTGCTCCGATGTGGCGGGCGAAGTCTACGTGAGCGGATAAACACCAATCAAAATGGCGTATTGTCTTGCTGACGGAACTGCTACTACCATTCAACATTAAGCGGACAAGCAGGGCTTTAATACATTTATGTTGCTGGCCCTGTTATCGCCTACATTGAGCACTCATACGAGGATGGAAACATAATATTACTTGCGAACAAAAGCGTGTACAGAAAATTCGCATGATTCATAATTGGAGTAGTTGATGTTTGCCGGGAAACAATTGTAACGAAAATCTTCACGCGCAAAAAACTGCAAGGAAAAGGGCTGTTTGCAGCCCCCTTTAACAATATGCTGCATGTGGTATGTTGCATGCCGTATGTTTGTACGCAATTGTTCCTTATGGATGCGGTCCAGGGGCAAAGATCCTCAAAATGAGTCCGGGGGGAGGGGGGCGGGGGGCGGCTGGGCAATGAGAACAACTACTCGAACTGCCCTAAAATCCGGCAACAAAGGTGTTCCTTTCCGGATTCGGCCCATTTTCTTCAGAGACTTTGCGGGTCTGAAGCCAAAGTTGGGAGACTGAAGCAACTGACGGATCTCAAAGCGGGAGGGGGGCACGGAACCATGCCCCCTACCTTTAATCCCGAAGGATCCCATAGGCTCCGAAGGGGCCCCGAACGGACACACATTTGTAACGCACGTCTTTGGCCTCCGAGCTACCAAAAGCAATCAAGCGCAAATGAAGAGCCCATGAGCAGAAAAAAATAGTTTTTCGCTAATTGAGACTCTCGTGATCTCTTGAGCTCTATGTTGCGATGCTGACAGAAAAATGAGTGACCGCCTTTTTACCTCCCATTTACCCGGAGAATTAAGCGGAGTGTTTCTCATTTGAAGATATTGAGGCCATCGTCAGAAGTGATGGCAAAAGCTCACTTGCAGCTATTGAAAGATTTGTAAGCACAAAAGCCCGTTGTTGAAAAAATAATTTTAGCATTTAGTAAATATGCTCCTCAAAACATCATCGTTTCATTGCGATAGTTCATTGCAGTCGTTTCATTGCGCCCTTTAAGCACATGGCATTTCATGGCGTCATTGGCGTAGTCCGCCGTGTGCCGCTATAGAGGAGTTCCTCCTCCTGCTCCAGGCGAGGGAAGGAACGCGGCCGGCGGCCACGTTCCGTGCGAGGAACGCGGCCGCCGGAGTTAGGAGAGGGGGCGATAACAAAGAGAGGATTCTTATAGCTACAGGCGCGGGGACGTACGTGTAGGTGGGACGGATTGCGACGAGTTCCTGTGACAAGTGTTAAACACAGAAGCGATTTTGGACGTCCATTGCGTACCAGTGAGCCGGAGGCGAGACATGGGAACAGCAGAACTTACATATTCTTATGCCCGGTTGTGACACTGTTCTTAGGTTATTCGATTCCCAGTGTTATTTCCGTTCTAAGCCGTACCACCATCAAACTTACTATACTATATAGAGCAAGACGTGATTCGTGTTTGTAGATCGGACCCTTTTATCCTCATCCTTGATTTATCTTGAATCCTCGATGCCCCGCCGGTTTGGGGCAGGCTGCATGCATCAGTCACCCGTCGGCCGAGGAGCCCCCTGGAGTGAAACCCCGGCAGGGCGCCCAGCGCACACCCCTCGAGGGGGTGCCTGCGCGGGCTGAGGTTCGGCGGTTGCCTCCCCCCGCCCCCCTCCCCCCCCCCGTCCAGGCACATAAGGTTTCGCCCTACCGTTATCTATTCTCCTTTATCCCATGGCCCCGAAATAATGATTCCTGGTCGAAAGGGCTCTAATCCAAACAACCAAACATCCCAATCGTGTTCGATATCCGCCCTTTTAATCCCATTTCTCGCTTCATCCTGCACCCTCGTGACCCCCATTTGTCCGGGGCAGACCGCATGCACCTTCCAAGGGTGGTGCTATTCTTAAGTTACTCGATGCTCGTTCTTAGTTTCGGAATGAGGACGGAGGCTGCATGCATCTCGCCAAGGGCTTCTAGGCCTCCTAGTGGGGCCCCGTTCGGAAGCCATGCACATGCCCTACAAAAGGACTGCTGCGCAGGCTTAGTCCCGGCGATTGGATCCCCAGGTGCTTGTAGACCTGCCCCGTTGTTATCCATTATTGTGTTCTCATAGCTCGGAAATGGCCATGTTCGAGGGACTCTAATTCCAATAACTAAATAACCAACTGAGTTCAACACTTGCATGGGACGTGTCACCTAGGTTCAAAGCCAACTGAAGCATGTTGATGCCAGAAATCGTACTGACGTACGCCAGGTACGAAAAGTAATATGTTTTGTAATGTTTGGTAATGGTAATACTCTTGTCTATGGTAATGATAGCAATATTGTTCGTGGCCTTCGCGCTGCATGGGCAATGAGGTGGCAGGATTCGTGTGACGTTTCTATGGCATCAGGATGATCTTGAAATAGTCTGCACAAATTCGCGGGCGTCAGGCTCAGGAACCAAAAGATCATGAGCCTTAAAAAGGGCCGGGCTGCGAACTCCACTGAATGATCTTCAAAATGGCTATCTCGGCTCAAAACACCATGGAAATGTAGAACACTCCCTTTAATATTGATCTTTGGAGGTCATTTTGTCCATGGTGGATACCCTGGCGTCATAGTGAGCATGTGACGGTTTTTCATGCTGTAATTTGACGCATCATTAGCGAATTATTGTGTGAACATTGTGTGTCATTGATTCCCTGTAGCCTATGCGGTGACCTATAAAGGTCAGACTGCGAGAAGAACATATTACTGAAAACGTGGCGAACACATGTCTGTTATTCATATTTCGATTCGGTTTCTTACTGATGGACAGATGCGTAACCGGTTTTTTACTACTAGATGCCTGAAGGTTTCATGGTGAGCTTTAGAGGTGACGTGGACAATGATGCGAGTGCCGAACGCTGTGGTGCGTACCCGGCCATATTCATATTTGGACTCCACGCATAAATGACTGCGTTGTGCGTGGCCACGTTTTCGGCGCATATGAATGTGAACGCGATTAGGAATATGCTGCTAAAAATTGTGACGTCATTTTCCGAGGCGCCCGGCCGGCCCGCCATGGACTCGGAAAATTTTGGGTGGGGATTGCAGAGGAGCCATACTCATGTTTCCTAATGGAATTGACGCTGACGCCATAACCTGCCATCACTCTTCTCTGCGACAATGGTTTCGGCCAGATTATCAAAAGCTGAACACGTTCGAATGGCTCCTTAGGACGTTCAGAGCATCCTGTTTTACCACCACGGTCTTAAAAAAGCAAAATATTCCGGCAGTTGGCATTCATGAGCAAATTTATGCGCGGTAAAATTTGGGAAGAATGTAAAATAACTCGGCACTTGATGCATTCATTGACCGCGTGCGCCCTGACGGATATGCAGGTAAGCTTACAGGGGCTTAGTCTCATTGTGCAATGATTTCACAACCGCAAAACTTGTTTCTTCTGGAGGCCAGCAAAACGACGACGCATGGCCGACGCATTCGCACGTGAAATGATCTCGACAGCGCTGTTTCACCGGTTTTTGCTGGCGTTGCATGTGCGTCCTTGCAAAATGCGCGGAAGAGATGGTGTTGAGTCCATCCTTTACACGCATCACCACTGATGGCATCCTGGCCGTCTGGACCGCTCGGCGAGCCACCGGGCCGAGCCGGATCTCGCTCTGCCCGGCCTCCCCGGCTCAGACCGAGGACACCCGCCGGCGCCGAGGCCGCCGCGCACGGGTCACGTGACCTGGGTCAGCCCATGACCCGAGCGGGAGGTGTCGCGCACCGCTGGTGTGCCGACATTCTTGCCCTGATCTTTGCCCACGGCGTCACATGAACAGGAGCTCCAGGGACAGGACCCCAGGGGCATGAGCCCCCTGGCGTAGTAGGATCCCCAGCGTACACCAAGCCACGCCCACCTTCGTAATTAGCTGTTAGCTCCCCGCCAGCAGCTCACATTCAAAGAAGCGTTGATAATCGGTCTGCGAGGGTGCATGTGTACAGGTGGCGCGGGCACACTGAGCACTACCGTCCCCACATTGTTCTACTGTAGGTTTGGCCACCGTGTTTCAGAGACCGTCCATACCTTACGTCACGCACTTCTAGTCATTTTCAACGCCCTCCATCCCGGTTTCCGCTGTCCGAAGCCTCCCTCACGCAGCCAGCGGCCTTCTTGGGGAAGGCTGAGGAAAGTTTCAGAAATCCCAACCCATCCAACCCATCCAACCCAACCCATCCAACCAATCCAACCCAACCCATCCAACCAATTCCAGCCTTCCTCAACCGAATTGGAAAACGCCGGGAGTTTCCAAAGCCTTTCCCGATCTAGCCACTGCCATCGGTCATCCAATGGGGGACTCGATATTTTTCTAAGCGACCCCATCCCTCAAATTTGGGTTGGGGAAGCCATTTCTCAGCGCGCAATCTCCATTAATTAGAGCGTAATGTGCAGCTCGCGGAGTATTCCAGACACCACGAGAAACGGACCAGAACAGGTTGGGAATCCCAATCAAAGCGCCTTGCTTTCCGCATGGACCCTAAGCATTCCCCAACAGGACAAGTTGGGGAATTATCGGGATATTCCGGTTGGAATCAGACCAAAATTTTGCGCTGCGAATCTGGTCACACCGTGTAGAAGTGTAACGTCCCAAAAAGTAAAAGTCGTTAGGCCACATTTAAACAAGAGGAGTGGAACAAAAAAAAGTGGGCGTGCTGGTTGTTATGAATGGAAGCCAACTGCATCCCGTTTGACGGTTTCAACATATTTTTATATATTTCAGCATGATCACCAACCAAAACCGCGGGTGACATAACGCTGACAATGCTCTACTCCCCCTGCTACTCTTCAGTCACGCTCCATCAAAACCTCATTCTCCTCCATGCTTAACGTGAGTGCACCTCCATGCCATGCTTAACCACGACCACCCGGG